ATACGCCGCACACTTCATCAAATTGGTCTGTATGGCTGTCGCCCCAGAAAGAAGCCTCTTCTGAAGGCTGTCCACAAGAAAGCCCGCCAAAAGTTTGCTGAGGATATGTCAACAAAGGCCATGGCTTACTGGAAAAATATCCTCTGGTCTGATGAGACAAAGATTAATTTATTTGGCTCAGATGGTGTGAAGCATGTGTGGCAGCAACCAGGTGAGGAGTACAAAGATGTTTGTGTCGTGCCTACAGTCAAGCATGGTGGTGGGAATGTCATGGTTTGGGGCTGCATGAGTGCAGCTGGAGTTGGGGAGTTGCATTTCATTGAGGGAAACATGAACTCAAGCATGTACTGTGAAATACTGGAGCAGAGAATGATCCCCTCCCTCCGGAAACTGGGTCGCAGGGCAGTGTTCCAGCATGACAATGACCCCAAACACACCTCTAAGATGACCACGGCTTTTCTAAAGGGGCTAAGGGTAAAGGTGATGGACTGGCCAAGCATGTCTCCAGAGCTAAACCCAATAGAACATCTTTGGGGCATCCTCAAGCGGAAGGTGGAGAAGCACAAGATCTCGAATATCCCCCAGCTCCGTCATGTTGTCATGGAGGAGTGGAAGAGCATTCCAGTGGCAACCTGTGAGGCTCTGGTGAAATCCATGCCCAGGAGGATTAAGGCGGTTCTGCAAAATCATGGTGGCCACACAAAATATTGACACTTCAGGAACTTTCACTTTAGGGTGTACTCACTTTTGTTACCAGGGGTTTAGCTACTAATGGCTATATTTTGAGTTTTTTTGAGGGGAAAAATAAATTTACACTGCTATATAAGCTTTACACAGACTACTTTTCATTGTGTCAAAGCGATGTTTCTTCAGTGTTGTTCAATTAAGCATTATAATGAAATCTCTGCAGAAATGTGAGGGGTGTACTCACTTTTGTGACATACTGTAAATACCAAATTTACAGGACAACTGTGTCACAATGATGTGTCGACCCTTTCAACAGTTCATCATGGAGGGCTACGCAGCTCACTTGTCCCAGCTGGAGTACCATCACCGTTCACGGCCGGCCAAGTCCAGCACTGCACGTATGGTGCTGCGTAAAAGCAGCTTCGGCCTGGGTGCAAACAGGGACTTCTTTAGGAAGAGGAACCACTTGCTGCGCACCATCTCCTCTCAGCCGGCCCCCAGCTCGCCGACGGGCAGCATCCACAACAGACCAGAACAGAGCCAATCAGACAGTGAGGGGCGGGAACTGGAGCACGCTCACAGCCACAGTCAGGGAGTGGCTCAGCGCAGCATGAGCATCACAGCCAGCTGCTGGGGCCGCAGCAGCAGTACCAAGTTTGAATCAGGAGCTCTCAGTCCAAAATGAGATTAGAGACATGAGGTTAGAGAAGTGAGTGACTCAAACTTGTGTAACGTAAGGATAAATAAACTGTTGGAGTACACCACATGGGTCATTACCACGAGGACAGTCCTTGGTGCTACAAACCACTCTATGTTCAACAAAAGCCAGTCACACTCAAGGACAGAAGCTTTGACTAAAACACACAAACACAACTTCACATGCATTTCAAGAAGCATCTTCCCGAAGCAGGGACGTGTGACACAGTCAGTGTTGCAGGATGTTGTTTTTACTATTTAGTACATAATAACAATCTTAAATACACAGTCATTTCTTCCTCCTACAGCAGGGTTTCAGGCAGGTCATGGTTACTCAGAAAAGCACCCCATGCTGCACATAGCAGCAGCAGTAGATAACAGATAGCAGATAACTATAGTTACTGTAAGCACAGCATTTACTCCAGAGATCAATTTTCTGATTAAATAGATATTAAGCAGTTCACTCTTTGTGAAATAAAGTAATCAGATTTCAATATCTGTGTGCATAAATTACCATTTTGTATTAGTCTAATTTTTCACTTTAGCTAAAACCTTTTCAATAAGAAGGCTTTTCGGGCTAGTATTCGCTGACTGAATGTAAGAAATGAATAGTTCATCACAGCAAAACAAACTGGAGGTAAAGCTGTGTAAAGCTGCAGCCATGCTTTTCTTTGTGCATATTTGTCTATAAAACCAAAGACTATGTTCTCATTTAAAATGTTCAACATTGCATTTTGCAACCCAAAAACACTTTCCAGACAAACAGGCCATAAAATATAACAATGGGGAAAAAGTTTGCGCACAAAAATGGACATAACCAAAAATAGACAAGAAAATCAGGCAAACTGGGCAATTACACATTTGTAGTAAACCCGAAAACACACCTAATTTTTATCATCACAAAAATTGTGTTTGATCCAATTAGGGATGTTTATTGGCAAGAATCTGGCGATACAACACGTGTAACGACACAGGAAACAGGATACAGGATACAATATAGTGCAATATACTGCGAACAAATATCTTTTTACTGATCATATTTCATATTATCCATAAACACAAAGGAATGGCATAGAGAACGCTGATGTAAAAAAACATAAATAAAATAGGTAAAAATGTACAGCTTAAAAAAACTGACCAAGGGGATTACATTTGTATTAAGTTTTTTTTTGTTTTGAGTTTTTTTTTTTTTTTTTTTTTTGGAAACTTCTGCATACACTAAGATTTTGGGTTGACTATAGAAATAGATGCATTCACATCTATGGAAAGAACAGTATTGCTGTAAACCATTTCTGTAAAACTGTTCAGTTTCCCTCCCTCCTAGGTGATGCTCAGACCCAAGAAGCCATCCAGATGTCCCACGAGGAAAAGTGAGATTTTACCCTTTAATTATACCTGCAGCCAAAAACTGTTCCCAGGATTTAATGGCATTTCACCACATCCCACTCAGTGTGGCTGATGATGTGAAATGTCGTCTCAGCTCTAGGGAAGGTTTCTCCATTGTAAGTAAGGATTAATGTGCCAAAGTAAACAGTACAGAATGATTTGCTGTACATGTAGGAGGGTGGAGGATGTATAAGTGAATATATTGTGTAATTACATGTAGTTTGATGGCCTTAACAAGGCTGTGTACATTACTGTTATATACACTATATTACCAAAAGTATTCGCTCACCTGCCTTGACTCATACTATGAACTGAAGTGCCATCCCATTCCTAACCCAGAGTTTAATATGATGTTGGTCCACCTGCAAGGTATTACAGCTTCAACTCTTCTGGGAAGACTGTCCACAAGGTTGAGGAGAGTGTATATAGGAATTTTTGACCATTCTTCCAAAAGCGCATTGGTGAGGTCACACACTGATGTTGGTCGAGAAGGCCTGGCTCTCAGTCTCCGCTCTAATTCATCCCAAAGGTGTTCTATCGGGTTCAGGTCAGGACTCTGTGCAGGCCAGTCAAGTTCATCCACACCAGACTCTGTCATCCATGTCGACCATAACCATAATTCGAGTCTGGGTTTGGAGGTTGCCAGGAGGTACATTTATTTCAGACTGCATTGTGCCGACTGTGAAATTTGGTGGAGGAGGAATTATGGTGTGGGGTTGTTTTTCAGGAGCTGGGCTTGGCCCCTTAGTTCCAGTGAAAGGAACTTTGAATGCTTCAGGATACCAAAACATTTTGGACAATTCCATGCTCCCAACCTTGTGGGAACAGTTTGGAGCGGGCCCCTTCCTCTTCCAACATGACTGTGCACCAGTGCACAAAGCAAGGTCCATAAAGACATGGATGACAGAGTCTGGTGTGGATGAACTTGACTGGCCTGCACAGAGTCCTGACCTGAACCCGATAGAACACCTTTGAGATGAATTAGAGCGGAGACTGAGAGCCAGGCCTTCTCGACCAACATCAGTGTGTGACCTCACCAATGCGCTTTTGGAAGAAAAAAAATTCCTATATACACTCTCCTCAACCTTGTGGACAGTCTTCCCAGAAGAGTTGAAGCTGTAATAGCTGCAAAAGGTGGACCGACAGCATATTGAACTCTGGGTTAGGAATGGGATGGCACTTCAGTTCATAGTATGAGTCAAGGCAGGTGAGCGAATACTTTTGGTAATATAGTGTATATCAGTGCGGATCTGGTATTTGGTCCATTGAAGACCAGCTTCAAGTGTCTTCTTTCCTCTGGGGGCAAGCACTGCCTCATCTGGGATATATTTTATTAGTTGATTAAAAACTATTGTGATTTAAGATTATAGATATTTTAAAAATGTGTTGATTTTGTGAACAACAATAGTGTTTTAAGATGACTTAAACTGTGTTTTTTTCCAAATCTAAGTTGCAGCAGCCAAATCTCAGAGGTCTTTGCCTGGCACAGTATTGCATTTTTTATTATTTTAACTTGCAGATCACATGAATGGTATCCACAGAACTGCTTCCTTCTGTCATATAGTGTATGTTTGTTATGATCCATTTTAAAAACGTCTTCCAGCGTTGTAAAATGAGGCACTGATAGATAATCCTGTCCATGTTAAGGTGTGTAGTTTTTGTGATGCACCACTAGATGGCAGTAAATCTGCAAGCTGTACATTCTGTAACATATGCTGTGGAAGCAGAGACTCACTGTATGCTGTAAGCTGTTTATTTCGGACGCCTTTGTTTGAATGATACTCATTTGTCCCTCTGATCTGCACAGATGTACAGAAAACCGACTGCAATGGACCAATGTGAGCTCAAGTGTAAGGGAATTGTTCAATATTCCTCCATCATAAAACATCACATCCCACCACCAGACCTCACCATCACATCGACAATCAGACTGAACAGGTACACATTCTACAGACGTCAAAATGCAGATGATCTCAGTGTACAGGAATTGACAAGGTAGAGAGTTGTGACAGGGAAGCTCCACAGATCTGATGACAACACAAAACCCTCCAGCGGGGCTTTAATCCTGTGAACATCATTTTCAGTCTTTGGTTTTGGCCTGATGTTTCCCTTACTGCACCAAGAAGCCACATGACATTTCCCCTTTAATTGACCCCCCAAAATAAACAGATATTTAACTGAAAGAAATTAGAATGTTGATTTGTTGAAATAATCCAATTACATCAGTTTTTTAAAGTTAGATTTAATTATTAGACCACCTAATAAGGTCTTGACTAGGGTGTCTAATAATAAGAGTGTTTTATATGAGGTATATACCAGGGGGTATTCTTCCAAGTGTGTGTGCACAGCAGCGGTTTTAGCACCTAATGTCTGAACAAAGCAGCTTTAATGAGAAAGATTACTCTACACAAAAAAAGTATTTTAACAAACTCAAAAAAAAAA